GGCGTCCCGGGACGGCGCCGCCGCTCTCCTCCCCCCGTGGCCGACCGGCCGGCGAGACTCGGGCCCGCGGCTCTGCGCCCGGCCGCTCTTCGGCTCCGGCGGCTCCCTCGGCCCGGCCCGGCCCGGCCGCCCCGCCTCTGCCGAAGACAGCGACGGCTTGCGGCGTCCTGCGGGGCGGGCTACGGTCCGGCCCCGGGGGAGTCGCCGAGCACGGCCCGGCCGCGAGGGCTAAGTGTGGGGTGCGATGTAGAAAGAGGATTTTTCATCTCATAAGTTTCAGAAGAATATTCTTAATCAGCGAGCACTGACCTTTATTTGTCTGAGCCCCTCTCTCTGATTTACTGGGCACCCCAAATGTATCAGGGCGAGTCAGTGATTAGATTTTCATCCCCGTCTCCTTTCCCAAAGCAGATTCGAGCAGGTTTACTGCCCAAGATTAGGAAGTCACAAGAAGGAAGCGTCTGCCCGGAATTCAACCCCCAGGAATTGTGCCCCCTTTGGAAGTTAGTCCAAAGGTTCAAATCCTGGGTCTCCTCTACCCCCTTTCGGAGTGGACAGCTGACTCCCACCTTGCAGACTCTGCCGCCTTCTCCAGGCTCAAAGCATTTCCACTCTTTATAGCAATTGCCAGAACTCCGGTCAATGCCCCTGAAGTCTGCAAAAGGGGGTAGTGTGGGGGGGGGGGCTCAGGCCTTGGATGCCTCTGACCAGGCCGCAGGAGGTGCCAATTCCCTTGCCCAGGGAGAGCCCTCTCTGGAGGGGGAGGGTGACTTGGTGCTGTCCTTGGTCCTCATCCCTGGAAAGAAGAGGGCAAGGCGGGGGAGTCAGCTTCTGCTTTGGGAAGGAAGGGGAGACATCTTGGGTTTTGCTTCAACAGGATACCTCATCCATATTTCTTGTTTCTAAGAAACAGAGAGCAGAGCCTCGGCTGACTGATTGTTCTCCCTGCTTCCTTCGAATAAGGACTGTAGGTGGTCATTCTAAAACTGGTCAAGCAAACTTAGTGCTTAAGCCAGCAGCCTCTAAATCCAGAAAGATGTTATTGCAAACTCTACACTGATGGAACTGCCGTTATGTACTCTCGGGTTGTGCCTGTGGCGGGATTGTTTGTTAACAAAAGTGGCCTTCTGCCCAGGGAAGCCGTGCTCTGTAGCTTCCCTTCCATATATGTACCTTACATATATGTACCTCCATTAAGGCCTCTTGATGCTGTTTTGAAGGAACACGCAGCTTGTGCCACAGCTCTGCTCCCCACGGGAAGAGGGGCCATTGCTGCTCGCCCACCTTTTACACCGACAAGTTCCAGGAGGAGCACTTTGCCCTGCCTACACGCTCAGAGCTTCTGCCAACCCATCTAAGAAAGAGATCTGCAGGAGACTCCCCTAGTGGCACTCCATTTTGAGACTCATTGCCTGGAGGGCCTTCTTTGGGGTGCCCAGTCAAAGTCTGTGGGGTTTTTGCCAACGTCTCCTCAATCTTTCTTAAAGGATTGGCTTATTTGCTTCCATAGGAAGACTTTTTAAAAATGCTTTTCTGTTAACGTTGGATTGTATTGTATTGTTATACTACCCTATTTTTGCGTGTACTGCTACTATGGAAGAAGCTCAGTGTGGCATATTATTTAAAACAAACAAAAAATAAAGACTAAAACTGCACGTCTCCACTCTCAGCAGAGAACACCAGGCAGCCATGGAGAGAAAGGGAGTCATGCAAAATCTGGTTTTGCACATTACGGCCTCACACAAATGATGAACTTGGACACACTTGCTCACATAGACAGAGACCTCATGGGAGACGCTTCCTGGCCTCTTTGCTTTTTCACATAATGGAAGCTTAAATTATTTATCTTTTCTCTCCAGCAGAACAGGCTGGGAAGAATTCCCTCTCTGCATCCAACTTCTTGACACAGTTGGGAAGGCAACATGACTGGGGGGGGGGGCGCAGCCTTCTTTTGGGAGGGGAGGCAAGAAAGCTGCTCCTGGCCCCAAAGAGCTGGGGCTTCATGGCCGTTCGAGCGAGAGAGCCCTCAACTTCCTCCCTGTGATTTCATGTGCAGGAAACTGCAGGCAGAGTATTTTTAGAGATGGCTGACATGTCACGATGCTCACAAGGAAACCAAAGGTATTTTATCTGCAGGAAATGCAATGGACTGCAAGAAGATCCCACAGGTTCTTGGCAAATATATGCTCTTTAGCAAACAGGTAAGAGAATATCAGAAGCCAAGGAAGTGAATTTCACTGACTGAAGTGAATTTCAAGCACCCCGAGGGAAGATCTGGGAATAAAAGCCACCACTTCTGCCATGCTTTGGATCAAGCTCCTGCCAAGCATTTACCTGAGGGCTCATGTCAGCTGGGGGCAGCTCTCCTGGACTAAGCCCCGAAAGCTGAACTGGGCTGAGCCCCCATGGCCCTTGAGTGGCAGAGCTCAGCGCTTGGCCCGGGGGGGGGGAGCTATCCTCTCTGCAGCATCATTAGGGGAAGCGCTCCCTGACTCAGAATGGAGGCCTCAGCATCACCGCTTTCTACTGGGTCTTGTCAGGATGGAAAAGGATTGAGTGGCAACTTCAGAGACCTAGAAGGAGCACAGATGGATTGATCTGCTACTCCAAAAGATGACGGGTGTCCTGCAAGAAGGGCCCAGCTGGCTTTTAAGGCAGGTTGGGAAAGGAAGCGCCCTTCAGCCCACATCGTAGCAGCTCTTCCAGCCTCTGCTGGAGAAGCAAAGGCAATCTGGCTGCCCTCTGGAGTAGAATTAAGCAAAGACAGTGGCAGAAGGGCTACATCCTTGTGCTCAATGGAAGATGGACTAAATGTTCTTCAGATGTCCCACCGAGCACCAAGTGTTTGGGGAGCCAGTTCCTTGTTTCCAGTTTCAGAGAGGAGGGGCTTGAGTGGTTGAGGAGGCTGCTTGGCTCCCCCCCCCCTTCGACCTGCAGGATGTTCTGGGCCATCTGTTCCTGGGCTCTGCAGGCTTCTTTCTCCTGCCAGCCCACCACCACAGACCCCTCCCCATTCTTCCCAGTTCAGCATCCTCTCTGGGAGCACAATCTGCAGAAGGGGAGGTGGGCATGACCCCCACTCACCTTTCCCAGCCTTTTTCCAAGAGGGAGCAGGGTTGGCTCCAGGGTCCTAGCTCCAGCTAGGAAAAAATAGGTCAGTTGTCAAGAAAGGAAGAAGGAATGCAGCAGCTTTAATTAGCAGGGTAATCTTTTTATGGAATTCTGAGCTCAGCAAAGCAGAGGGGGTGAGAGAAGAGGGTGGGGGGGGAGTATAAATGGAAGGACTGTGTGAAGAACAAAATGGGGGGTGGGGAAATGAAGGCAGGGGAATGCAGGCGGCAAGGAGCCCTTAATTGTGGGGCACCATCTGTCTTGCCCCATTTTAAGCCACACAATTACAATGAGATGCTCTCACTCCCCCGCATCCCCCCTACAGGTTGACATGTTCCAGGAGACACAGCGCATTCAGAAATCTGCTGGTCTCAGGAGGCTGCAGGTCTCTTGCATGGCTGCTCTCTGTGCAATCCTGCCCACGAAGAGGCCCTCCCCCTGTTTGTCCAGGTGAGCCTCGGTTGTTGAAGGCTGCCAAAGCAGAGAGGCCCCCCCATGTGTCTCCGACACGTCTCCGGGAGGAACCAAAGGAAGCCAGCAACCCCCCAGACGGCCTATTCAGGTCAGGCCAGCTCAAAACAGGTGAGCACATCTGCATGTATCCCAAGTGAAGGAGGACGTGTCTGGCTCTGAAACGCACCCTAAGCAAAGCAATGGCTCCACTCCTGGCCCCTTGACCATGCCAGGGTCTGGCACACGCTGGCACCAAAACTCCCTTTCCTCTAGCAACGGGAGGCCAAGGCTGCTGAGCTTGGAGGGACCCCCCCCCCGTGAGCATGTGGCCTGGGAGCCTTCCTGAGCAAAGGCTGCGGGCAAAGCCTTGATTGGGCCAGGTTGGAGATCCTCCCGTCCCTCCAAGGGATCAGGCCCGGGTCAGAAATAAGCGGGGCTTCCACCCTGCGGGCATCTCCTTGGGCCAAGCCCTGGTTTAAGGAGTTATAGTTTACCCAGTATCTCACAATGCGGGGGTGACACGGCCGCGAAGGGCGGGGGGGGCAGAATGGCCGACCCAAACAACCGCTGCTCTGCCCCTCCCCCACCCCGACCCAGCGCGCCCCTCCCTCTTGGGAGCGCAGGCCGGTCCCCAAGCGGGCGCCCTCGGCGGCTGCTGGGGCGGCGGAGGAACCGTCGGGGCCGCTCAGGGCTTCGGGAACGCTTTGAAAAGCGCCGCGCGGGTCAGGAGGGCTCCGCGCCTCGGCGGTCCAGCAAAGCGCCGCTGCGGGCTCTTTCTCGGCTTCCTGCCCGGGACGGCGGCCCGCCAAGCCTGCCCTGCGCCCTCGGCATGGGCGGGCCTTGGAGGGCGGGTGGGGCGCTGGAAGCGAAGCGGAAGAGCCCGACGGCGAGCAGGTGAAGCGCGCGCCAGGCGACCGGCAGGTAAGGCGGCTCTCTCGCTCGCTCGCCCTCCCGCCCTCTTCGGGGAGCGGCGGGGAGGGTCCCGGGAGCCCCGCGGCGGCGGGAGGCGGTGCCGCATCTTTCCCGAAGCGCGGGCGCTGCTCGTCCTCGACGGCTTTCCTCGGGCCGACCTTTGCCTGCCGGCGTGTCCGAGCCCCACCGCGGTCGGGGTGCTGCCTCCGCCGCAGCGTCCCGAAGCAGCCCCGCGCGGAAGGGCGGCGGCCGCCAGGGCCGGGGCGGAGCGGGGACGGCGGGCTGCTTCTGCGGGGCTCCCGGCTCTCCTTTCCGGGTGGCCGGTGCCCAGTCGGGGGGCGCCGCGGCGCTTCGGCTCCTCCTGCAGGGGGAGGGGAGGGACGGGGAGGGGAGGCTCCGTCCGGTCCCCCCCGCCCGGTTCCCGGCTTAGGAGCCCAAGCGGGGGCCCCTCGGGGAACGGGGCGGACGGGGCTGCAGGGCTGGGGCGCCTGGCCGGGGACCTGCCCGCCCACCTGCTCCGCTGGGCCCCTTGGTGGGGCTGGCTGAGGTCGCCGCTCCGGCTCCAGGAAACAAATTGTATTTTTGCCCTGCGGAAACCAGCCGGATCTTGCCTGGGTGCCGCGCGAACAAACCCTTCGGCCTCGTCCCCTCCCCCGAGGTACACGCGAGTCAGCGCTCGCCACTTCCGGTTCTAAGCCTGGGCAAAAGTCGGGCGCTGCTCCGTGGAGAATTGGGGCTGATAGTTGAGGGGGGGGGAGGCTTTAAAACTTGCTTTAGCCGAACTTCCTGCTAAAACCAAACAGATGAAACATTTTGTGTAAAAATCAATTCAAGAAAACTCATCTCAAACCATTACAGCTGTAAAAACGATCTTGGCATGGGCTGCGTTTGGGTCCAAATCAAAACTGTACCGTGTAGATGATGGGAGTTCTAGTCCAACTCATTTGGAAGGTGCTTTTTGGAGGAAGGCTGAAGTAAAAAGACATACAGAACCCCTAAAAGTCAGTGGTAACAGAGGGTCGTGTTCCCCCAACTGGCCCAGAACTCGGTGCAAAATGGCCACACGAAAGAAAACACACGAGAGAGGGCAGGGGGCCATATTAAATGTTCCAGGAGCTTGGTTAGAATCACAGAGTGCAAGGACTGAAGGATATTAGAGATCATCTAGTCCAGCCCCCCCCCCCCCGGGCCCATAAGGAGAGAGAAAAAGGCCTTTTCACGCTTTCAGTTGGACCATCAGTTGGGAGGTCTGACCTCTGTCCCACGTATCCTGGGCTTTCCTTTTGAAGCAGAGTTTCTTGTGAACCAGCCTCGGGTTTCCTGGAGAGGCTGGGCCCTGAAACTTTCCACTCACTCCCTTCTGCTGGGTTTGTTTTATTTATTTATTTAGTCATCACATTTATGTAGCTGCCTCTCTCACCAGAAGTGACTCTGTTGGCAGAGTTTCATTATCAGCCCAGCATCCTGAAAATTGCTGCACAGGTGAGACTCATTGGCACAATCACAGGCCCGTTCTGCCGGGTATGGGTTATGGTTTCTCCCTGGTAAAGAAGCCAACAAGCCAAAGGCAGTTTCTCATTTAGTGGGTTCCTGTCCTCCCTTTCCAGGCTGCGTTGCTACAGCACACACACACACACACACCGCCAGTCCTTGCACTCTGTTAGGGGCAGTTGGGATAAGCTGGGATGGGACAGGCGGTCATGGTGGGGGACCATTACTCACACGGGAGGTGAAGGTGTTCACACTGCAGGGCAGCGTTGTGACCCAAGGCAGATGAGCTGCTTTGCCCGCAGGCAGTCAAAGGGGCTGCCCTCTCTGGCTGGCATAGTTGTGGCTCCTGCTGACCTCACAAAGGCTGGCTGTGCCCCCCCCCCAGCTTCTCAGGGGCCAGGGCGTCTCCAGAGCCACTCTGGGACCTCAGCAGGTGGGTGCGTTGTTGCTTCCCCTTGAGGAATTCTGTCAGCAACTGGCTTGGCTGTGATGGAAGTGCCATCCCCTTCCTCCTGGGTCCTGGGTGGGTGGTGGGGAGCTGCTCCCCTTGCAAAGAGTGGGACCCCTTCCCTTTCCTCCCTCCCTCCCTGCAACTTCCTTCTCTCTGCCAGGCCTCTCTGCTGGGGAAGGGAGAGGCCTTACGTCCCCCAGAAGAGAAAGAGGTGTGTGTGGGGGAGGGGCACAGGAGGCCATGGCTGCAGGCAACTGCACTGTCAGTGGGAGCAGGGAGGGGCAGTGGCTTCCCTTCCTTCATTCGTGGAAGTGTTGAAAATTAGGCTGAAAGTTGGGCAACCAGAAACATTGCGGAATAGCAGCCTGGGGAGAGGCAGTTCCCGGCTTCGGGGAAGGGGGGGGCATGGTAGTGAGTTCACAGCTGTAGGGAGGTGGAGCTTGGAGCCCTGCCGTTTTCTTGGCAGTAATAAAAAGAGGCAGTCAGAAAACAGCTTTTCCTAAGGAGCCTTGGAAAGCAGAGAGGCTGGGGCTGCCAGGCCAAAGGTCCGGTTTGGTGGGTCTTGACCATTTGTCCCTCGGCCCCTGCCTGGTTCTCTGACACCTGCGAAGCCCTTGGAGCCCCGCACGAGGAGGGCAGCCGAGGTCAGTCACCAAGAGGAAGGCAGTGCAGTTGGGGGGCTGGCCTTGGACCAGGCATATTTGCACACTTACGAAGTTGTGCAAACTCTTCGCAAACTCCTCCTGGAGCCACTTCCAGGGCTGGTGGGGTCTGAGCCCGCAAGGACATTGCTCTGGGGTTGCCCCCATCCTGCCAGGGGAGGAAGTCAAGCAAGGAGACTCCTGTTACACCCCCCCCCCATTTCTAGCTATTTGGGTTTTGTTATGGCTGTTCAGACATTACAGAATCCATTTCCCCAAATGAGGTTTTGAAAAGTTTGAGACCAAGAGACCATGTTTGTGTGTGTCTGTTTGTGTGTGTGTATCTCTCTCTGAAGCTCTTCCTCTCTCTTCTGAATCATTACCCTGGTTTGAGTGACAAGCACCTGGTGACCCCACCTGGTTTCACCAGCCTTCTCCTTGGGTGGAGCAAGGAGATCTCGGGTTAAGGGCCCACTCTGGGTGGCAGCATTCTTGGCACAAGAGTGCCAGCCCTTTGAGGTAGGCCAGGCTAAGAAACTGGCAGGGCAGAGATTCCAGGAAAGCCAACTGATTGTTGTAGGTTGTGAAAACAGACTCTTAAAGCCTGTCCCAATTCCCTGCTCTCTCCCATCTGGTACTAAACCAGCTCAAGGTGGAGTTACCTTGAGTGTCTTTCTCACCCCACCCCACCCCCATCTCTTGGCTGTGTAATCGTAACAGCTGACTCACAGCCTCCCCAAGGACCTGATCTGTAAGTATTGTTGGGGAGGGGGAGGAGTTTAATTCCAGGAACAGCCCTGCAAGAGGAAACGGAAATTCCGTTTTCTGGGCAAGCAGGCAAAGAGCCCCGGGGAGGAAGTGGGCCAGAGGGAGATGTCCAAGAGTGGAGCTCCTCGGGGCAACTGCCAGCTCCTCCTCTCCCCTTTGGGGCAGCGCTGTTGGTCCAGGAGCAGCTGCCAGCTCCTCCTCCCCTCCCCCTGGCAGGGCTGCTTCTCCTAGGGGCTGGCCAAGCCCCTCAGCTTCCTTTTGGCCTCTCTCCTAGAAACATGGCTGCTCCTTCCTCAGCTCTTCCACCGTCTTACGAAGAATCAACCGGCGCCAGTAATCCAGCTCCGTATCCCTACCCTCCTGCAGGGGGAATTCCTGTGAAGGGGGCACCGGCCCCTTTCCCAGTCCAGGCCCATCCTCCATTCCCACCCCAGTCCTATGGCATGCAACCCCAGCCGGTTCCAGCGGTACCTCCAGGTGAGTCCCAGCGTGGGGTGGGGAGACCTTCCCCCAGGAGGGGTCCGGCTGCAGCTGGGCTGGTCCTGGGAGCTGCTCTCGGGGCGTCTGTGATGGGCACCTCGGAACCTCCGGCCTCTCCCTCTCTCCCCAGTGCCCGTCCACACCGTTTACATCCCGGGCCCGTTGATCTTTCTTGAGCACCCCATGCAGATCCACTGTCCTGCCTGCAACCAGATGATCGTGACCCGGATCTCCTACCAGCCTGGAGCTCTGGCCTGGCTTTCCTGTGGGGGCCTCGCCCTGGTGGGGTAAGTTGGTCCCAGCCTGCCCAGGAGCAGCAGGGCAGCTTCCCCTCCCTTGCGCAGCTGGATTGAACCGGCCGTGCTCTGCTTGCGCCCGCTGCAGCTCTGCCTTCTCTCGCAGGTGCTGGCTGGGCTGCTGCCTGATCCCCTTCTGCGTGGATGCCATGCAGGACGTCCAGCACTTCTGCCCCTGCTGCAACGCCTTCCTGGGTGTCCACAAGCGCCTCTGAGCGGATCTGGGCCCCGATGCCGGGAAGTGCAAAGTCCCCTTTTGTACGCCTCCGCTCAAGTCCTCCTGGGCCAGGCCTTGCGGGGCCCGTCCAGTGCCTCCTCAAGACTCGCCCTTTGGAACAGTGCAGACCACCTCTGGAGTCTCTCCCCCAAACTTCGGCCTGCCGTGACTTGCACCGCTGCCTGGGGGAAGAGCGGATCCCGGCTTCTTGCGAAGGAGCGAAAGAACCACACGGAGGATGCTGCTCCTGCTGCCCCTCGGTGCCAGGCCTCCTCTGCAGGGGGAGTTTGCGGCACAACCTACGAAGGCTGAGGGGAGGCAACTTTCAGTATTTGACCCAAGGTCTGCAGGGCTGTAGCTGGCTCCCATCTTTTCCATCGTGGCCCATGCCCGGTAACAGAGCCGCTGAGTTGGGCAGCAGAAGTGCCTGCTGTGATGCCAGAGCAGGATGTTTCCCCGATCTGAGGGTTCCCAGTTTGGGGAGCCGTGGACCCTTCAGCCTCACCCCTCTCCCCCAGCTGTCAATGGGGGAAGAGAGGCCCCGTGCCTTGAAAAGCAGAGCAGGTGCTGCTGGCACAGGGCACCCCGTCCGAGGCTCAGCTGTGCACTTGGGTGTTGAAGGGGCTTCCTGCCCCCAGGAAGAAGGGCCTTTTGTCCTGCGGATTGGGGGCGGAACGGGGGCCAGAGTAGCTGGAGAGGGAGGTGAATCTCTAGAGCCCTTTAAAGCTGTTGGCTCTGCAAGTCCAACTTTATTCTGATTTGCTTCCGAACTTAATTCTGACTTTTTCAGCTTTTGAAATAAAACTCTCTTGCAAAAAGAAAGAGCTGGAGGCGATCCTACTTTTTCCAAAGGGAGAGATCCGGCTGAGGGAAAAATGCCAGGGTGGCCAGCCACCAGGAAGGGCAGGGGTCCCTGCTGGGAGCCTGGCCCAGCGCTCAGGGCATCTGTGGGGCCAGGGCCCTTCAGGGAGGCAGGGCTGGCGGAGGAACGGGGGCCAGGCAGCCTTCCTCAGCAGCAGCTACAGAGGCGCCCTGGATCAGGGAGCCTGCAGAAAAGCAGGGCTGGGCTGGGCTGGGGAAAAGATGGTCCATCCTGGCAACCTGCCGGCCTCGTGGGGAACGCAGGCCAGGCCCAGGGTCTTCCCTCGGGGCCAGCCAACGCGGCCTCTGATGCGCTTGGCCTTCCTTGGGTGACAGCAAGGCCAGCTGTGGTGGCAACCGCACTTCACTGTGTTTATCCGGCCATCGAAAGGGGCACTGCCAAGACGAGGCTGCAACCTCCAGCATCCAGAGCCCCCCCCTGCAACAGGTGTTATGGAAATTGTGATCCAAGCCACGATTTGCAACACAAAGCCCATCTCCCTTCCTCTCTCGTCTGGCTTCCTTGCTTCGCAGGCCTAGAGAGTTGTGGTTGTTGAAACTTTAAAGCATTTTCCAGTGGGTGGGCTTCCAGTTCTGGTGCACAACTTTGCCTGCAAACAAACTGCTGGAAATGTGCCCCCCCCCGAGACTTCTAAGCTGCTTGAGAAGAAACAGAAAGGACCGTTCTCTAACCCAAAACAATTTAGTACAAAAGTAGCAAAGAAAATTTCAGTCTGCTCAACTTTAGAGAAATTTATTTACAAAAATTAAATAATTATCTTCTATGAAAAGAGATGTCTGGGGTGTTTTCCCTTAAAAAAAGGTCTACATTATTCAAATGGATGGTTCTGAACTCCCAAGCTGGCGGAGGGCTTTCCTTCACTTAAAATGTGACAAGGCAACACCACGAGAGACGGGGCTGAGCCAACCCTACGGAGGAAATAACAATTTTGCTTTTTTGCATTATAACAGTATCTAATCTGCTGCGACTCTTGAATGAAGCTGTTAAAAAACTGAAAGGCTTTTTCTGAATCTCCCACAGCTTCTCTGATCCTTTCTCCCATCAGCAGAATAAAAGAAAATACAGATTTTTTTGGTGCAGACGGTAAATCCAGCAAGATGCTCCTTCAAATCAGGGGAGCCCCTTCTGCGCTCCAGGTAGCCATGCCCCTCCCCTCTGAACGAGGAGGAGGAAGCAGCTGCTTTACTGTCCAGGTGCCAGCTCTTTGTGCAAAATGGGACCGACATCTGCGGGTCCTGGCAGATGTTGCCGGCCTGCCTGTGTTTTTCCCTGGCCGTGTGTGTGTGTGTGTGTGTGTGTGTGGAGAAAGCCGGCTTCACCTGGTCAAACCAAGCCGGCATCTTTGGCCATGTCACAGAAGAGGCCTCTGCTCTCGATGAGGTCAGCAGGAGCTCCGCACTCCACGATTCTGCCTTTCTCAAGGACGATCACCCTAAAAGGACAACAGCTCCGTCCATCACCCTGATGCTGATCTTCCTTTCCCGCCACAAGGGCCACCCCGGGCCAACCCTTGGAGCCTTACCGTGTGTAGTCCATGATGGTGTTCAAGCGATGTGCGATTGTCAGGACTGTGCAACCCTCAAACTGCATCCGTATCGTCGACTGGATCAGGCTGTCCGTCTCGAGATCTACCGCTGCGGTGGCTTCGTCCAAAACCAGGATTTTGGATTTGCGCAGCAGGGCCCGAGCGAGGCACACCAACTGCCGCTGACCCACGCTGGGAGACAGAGAAGGCCACGTTAGATGCCAAAGGACCCACGTGCCGGGTGCTTCGCCCTTTTAAACACAACAGGGGTTTTGTAAACAGAGGCTGAGTGCGTCCTTGTGCCTCTCTCCCAGTCACAGGTCGAGATAAGGTTCTCTGTGTGTGTATGTGTGTTCAGAAAATGGCTTCTGTTTATCTCAAAAGTGGCTTTTCGCAGCTGCTCCCAAAAGGGTGGGGATGTTTGTCTGCTGCACTCAGATCATTTCAGCTGCAAGGCACAGCTCAAGTTGGCATTTTCCGGGCAGTAGCAAAAATTGCCCCAGATTACAGCTCATGTCAGAAACCAATTTCCTTGAATACTTAAGACATCCACTGCATCCTCCTTTTGCAAAGAGGCTGCAGCCAGAAATGGGCAACTCCACTTCTCTCTGTCCCCCTCTTTGCAATTAAACTTAAGAACGGGACCAGAAAAAAACAGAAAAAGATCCACTAGAAAAAAGGAGCATCAAACAAAAAAGAGAACTAAATATCTTAAGAAAAAAGTAAAGCATTCTCTGTTATCCTACCGGAAGTATTAAATTGGTACAATATATAAAGGTTATCTTATATCAATGTGGTGAAGAGAACACAACTATCTCTAATGACTCTGAGTCAGCCTGTCCTTGAGCTGAAACTCAAGTGGGTGGAGGACTGCGCACCTTCCCTTCCCTCAGGAAAGAGACTTAACCAGGTAAACACCAGGCACTGTTTTCCTCCTGGCGCTGTGTTAAGACAAGGCTGCTTCGGAAGGCTAAACTTCTCATGAACAGGCAAGGCCACCTGCTTCTTCCTAGGTTCTCAAACAGCCAGAATCTCACCTGATTCTTCAGCCTGTGAATCAGTCCTGGGTGGAGGGCTGGGCACACAGCCAGAGACCAGCCAAAACGAGCAACGCGAGCAGATCCTTTCTTGGCACTGCCAGTTTAACGAACGGCTGGCAGAGCCAGAGTTTAGAGGCAAACAAACTTCGCAGAGCTCAGCACCACGCTCTTAAACACGTGCCTAACACACACGCATCCTTGTGCGTGGTAAAAGCTCTGGGGGCATTGTTGCTCTGTATACCTGAGGTTTTCTCCACCTTCTGAACACTCGTGGAGGAGCTTATCAGGAAGGGAGGAGACGAAGGCTTTCAGGTGAGCAAGCTCCAACGACATCCAGACCTCGTCATCGGAATACTGGTCAAAAGGGTCAAGATTCATGCGCAGGGAGCCAGAGAACAGGATGGGATCCTAGGTAGGCGAGAAAGGACAGCAGAGTTTTGCAGCAGCAGAGAACGCTCCCACTCCAGGAGAGGTTCTGGAGGACATCATGGAGCACAGAAAGTGTTCCAGGGGTCATCGCTCCTTCAAAGCTGTTTCCTGGTGCAGTTCCTCCCCTCTTTCTAAAACTGCCCCCTGGGTGGGAAGCTTAAAATCTTCAAAGTGGTCTGACGCTGCAAACGCACCACTAAGGGACAGCTGGACTTTGCATTTTCCACCGGCTCAAATCGAGTCTTTGCTTGCATGCATTCACTGCTCCCAAGTGACTCCATTAAATGGGACTCCAATTTGGGGAGGGGGGGAAGGGACCTCGCAGAGAAGGTCAGGCCCCATGGCAGCAACTCCCAACCTGGGGGATGATGGTGATCTTGAAGCGAAGGTCGTGCAGTCCAATTTTGGCAATGTTAACCCCGTCAATGAGGATCTCTCCTTCTGCTGCCTCTTTGATCCGAAACAAGCCGAGCACCAGGGAGGACTTCCCGGCCCCGGTCCTTCCGACGATGCCCACCTGTCGAGGGCAGAGAGCAGAGTCAGAACGGCTGCAGCAGAGGCAGCTATAAAGGCGGGAGCTGGGGCAGAAACGGGGTCCAGACTTCCCTCCGGGGCCAGCCCTTCCAAGATGAACTAAGCGCATTTTTGGGAATCGGAGGATGTGTGGGCAGCACGGGATGGACCATCCCAACCCCTGCAGGCAGAGACGATTCTCCTTATGGATCTTGAGGGGGTCTCACCACATAGGATCCCCTCCGGGGGGGCATGGTATCTATGCTGCTTCCCAATGGTCCAGGTGAGCGCAGAAGGAGCTTCTGCCTTCACCAGCTTCTCTGCTGCCCCTCCCCCTATGTGCCAGGAGGCGCCTTCTCTCCCACCCTCCATACTGCAGAGACGCAGCTGCCTGGGACTCACTTTCTCCCCAGCGTGTACCACGATGGAGACGTCCCGCAGCACGGGGTCCATGTCACTCCGGTAGCGAAGGCTGTAGCCCCGGAACTCCACCCGCCCCTCCTGAGGCCAGCCGGGCCGGGCAGCAGCTCGCTCAGAGGTCCACTCGGCCTGAAAGAGGGAGGAATCAGGCTCTCATGCGCCCCAGCCATTCTGCGGTCTGGGGGCTTTCCCAAGACCACCCACTGGCTCAAACCACGGGCCCAATCCCCCTGCCCAACACTCGGCCTCTCACCACCCACTGGATATTTTTCTGGAGGATGCAAATGAAATGGCAGGTGATTCCCAGCAAATGGACCAAGGCAGACAGTGCTGCCTCTCTTGGTCACCAGAGGGCGCTGCTGCTCTGCAAGCTGCGTGCCGGGAAGACTTGGGATGCGGCCCCTGTACTCCTGCGTGGACGTGGCCCAAGCTCATGCCGAGTGACAAAGCCACAGGAGTCTGAGGTTTTATTTTGAGAGACTTTGAAAGAGAGGATTCCGCCAACTGCAGATGGTTCCTAAGCATCAGCCAAATGGAACCTTCCTGTTTAAGGACAGTCTATCTCAAGGAACCATCTGCCGGGAAGTTGAGGACAGGAAAGGGTGCAGGTCTTTTTTACTTGTGGACCCGCAGAGTGAGTGGGGGGCACAGACTCTGTTCCTGAACTGGCCTAAGACTGAGGGGGCCGTGGACCTCCCATCTGGTCTTCAGGTTGGCTGGACTTGCAATGATGGAAGTGGAGGTCCAGCCAATTGGAAGGCCAGTAAATTAGAGGTTCCTTTCAACGCTCGCCTCAGGAGGCTGACCAGCATTTGAGCAGCTGTGTGAGGCTGCATTTGCCCGCCACCCCCCCTTGCAGCTACTCCTGGGAGAATGAGGAACGCCAACACTGGCATGTCCAGGGAGCCCCTTCAGGCTTCTGTGCCCAAAGAACACAATCCCGGCTGTGAGCAGAGACTTGCCTCTTTTTCCTTCTCCGAGTATTCCTTCACTCTTTCCACAGCTACAATGTTGGTCTCCATCTCGGATGACATACGGACCAGCCAGTTTAAGTAAGTGGTGATCTGCAAAAGAAGGGCGCCGCTGCTGGTGAACCCCTCAACTCCAGAGGAATCTGATCCCCCCGAGGGGCAGAAGCAGGCAGCACCTTCGGGGAGGTGCGAGAGGCTCCATCTTTGAGACAGCCGCCAGCAGGGGTTCGTGGACAAGGGCCGGAATTTAGGGTGAACACAGCCCCGCGAGATTGCAGGGAAGGACTCCTGGCCCAAGGCAGACCTCCAGACCAGACGATGGCCGGACCGGTTCTCAGGGGCCAGAAGAACCAGGCTGTTCCTGGGGGGAGGGGCTCCCCCCTCCTGGTCAGTCAATCCTAGGAGGAGCCCGTCGCTTGTGCGAGAGGCACCTATCTGTGCGATTATATTTGTAACATTCCCCATTTTTCCAGAATCTCTCCCAAAGCAGGACGCATTCTCCCACCCGAGGAGGTTCGGCTCACAAAAAGGCAGGGCTGGAACCAGCCAGCCACCCCACAGCCGTCCCACCTGCAGCGAGTAGGAGATGGAGAGGCCCACCAGCCCTGGACTCAGGCCGTGGCGAGCGATGACGGCAAACAGGGCTGCGAAGAGGACGATGCAGTTGCCCACCGACTCCAGCCGGATGGCCAGCCACCTGCGCAGGCCAGAGAGGGCGGGGTCAAAGGCCGGCAGAGAACACCGTGTCCAAGCGCTTAAGGGCTTTCCAGTCCTGCCCCCATCAGGATTACCGGTTGGCCACGATGCTTGGGTAGTAGGCCTTCTGGTTTTCGTCCACTTTCAGGTCACTCTGCCGGATGAACCGTTTCTGCTCGCCGAAGGCGCGGATGACACTGACGCCCAGGAGCGTCTCATTGAAGTGCGAGTAGACTGGAGAGCGGCTGACCGACTCCAGGCGCTTCAACTGGCGTGAGGTGGCAACGTAGAACCGCTGGGGAGGCACAAGCAGGGCCGGCGGTCAGAGGGGCCCCGGAAGCAGGGAGCCCCAGGAAGGGCCAGGAGCAGCCCCTACCTGCACAAAGAAGTAGATGAGTCCCAGGGGAGGGATGACCACGGCTGCAACTGGCGTGGCCAGCAGGATGATGACGCAGGCGCCCAGCACGTTGAAGAGTGAGCCCATGAACATCTTGATGATCTGCGGCAGGGTGGAGTCGATGATGTCCATCTCCTTGGAGAAGCGGTTCACCAGGTTCCCGCTGGGCGTCTGCTCGAAGAAGCTCACCGGGCACCGCAGGACGTTGTGCAGCAGGTCGAGGTGGAGGCGACGGGAAGCAATGATCCCCCCCACAGAAACCGCCATGGAGTAGCCAAACACAGCCACGCCTACGGGAAGCAAGAGGCCAAAGCACCCATGAAGGTCAACCCAGCCTAAGAATGAGATCTGGGTCATCAGAGGCCCAAGAGCATTCTGGAAGGTTCCAAAGGCTGCACGTTGTCGCCCGTCCTAATGCAAGAGGCTGCCCTGCCCGTTTGCCCTGCAGAGGATGCCTTTAAGAGTGCCAACCTCTTGCCCCAGCATTGCCAACGTGCCTCAGACCATAGAAATACCCCGTGTAGGGCGAAAGGCTGCATGAAACTGGCAGATATCAGTTTTGGGCGCCCGGCCCTGTGCCAGCTGTGAGGATGCTGCACCGCCAGTCCCAGATCAGGGCCCACAGAAATTGCTCGCTGGGCAGGCTGCAAGGAGCCTGGGGCGGAGAAGGGAGAAGATGAGGCAAGCACCTGGCATGTAGCAGCCTCCCCTCAATTCTTCCCCCATCCCGTCCACCTCATCGTGCTCCACAACAGACCTTCCCTTTCAAAAGATGACCCAGATCTGGAAACCTTGTGAGTTCTGTGCCGGCAAAATGCAGGATTCCCACCTGGGGAGAGGGGAGCCCCTCTCCTCCCCTCCCTCCCGGGGATGTCCCCAGATGAGCTGCAAGCCAGGAGGGAACAAAATCCCAGGGCCACAGTGGCCGCCAGGGATCGGGGGGGGGGAGAGCAGCAGACCTTGAGAGATTCCCAGGGCGCCATACACCCCCAGGCGAAGGTTGGTGTGCTGCTGCGTCCCGTTGAGGACGGGGTCGTCGGTCCACAGGCTGAGCCAGTAGTTGGACGCTAGGGAGGCCACGTGATTGCAGAGGAAGAGGAAGATGCTCAGGAAGGAGATGCCCAGCCCGATGGCTTTCAGGTACTCCCCGTAGATGGTCGTCTTCACCTGCGACACACAAGCGGCCATCACAAGGAGGACCCCCGACTCCACCAGGACCCTTCCAGCCCCCAAGCCTGGGAATCTGCTGCCCAACAAGTGTCTCCTCTCTTCTCTGGCCGCAGAAGGCTTGGGGGGGAGGGGTTCCCTGTTGCTCCTGGATGCAGTTACACACAACACACAACACATAACACACACACACACTGTTGTTCTCGGCCCATCCAGGCTCCCTCCTGGACGTCCAGCACAAGAGGTGGTCACCGCTCTCACCGCCTCTCCTCCTTCTGGGTCCCCCACAAGATCCTGACTCAACCGGGGAGGCGACACTCTGCAGCGGCTGATCCAAGGACAAGCGCAGTGGTGCCCCTGGCGGCAGCCATGTCTGCACCCGAGTGCCAACGTCCCTGACCCTGGGAGGGGAGGGGGGCTCAAGACGGGGCCGGGCAGGGAAGCTGGGAGTTGCTGCCGCTGGCCACTTCACAATCTCCCAGTGGGGAAAGGCAAACAAACATGACCTTGGCTGGGAGGAATTAAGGCCTGAACTTGACACTGGAACCTGGCCTGGGGCCAGCTGTCCGAATTCCAGCCGGGAGCCTTTTCCAGAGAGAAAACAACCAATTCAACCCCCGCAATTCACTGTTTACACCCAGCGAGCTGCATTCAACTGTGAAGTGCTTCTGATCAGCAGGTAGCCAACAACGCCAAGTTATTGTTGACATAAATGCTGATAAAAACTTTGTCCCTGAATAAAGGAATACATTTAATCCCTGAACTTAATCCCCAAATAAAGGGACTGTTGGCCCTTCGAAGGCCGGCCAGGGATGCCGAGAAGGCCACTGGACCGCTCTCGGCCACATCAGCTGAACCTTGGAGGAGAGGCTCTCTGCCCCGGTTTATGCCAACCGCCTCAAGGCAGGGCCGTCTCGAGTCTCCTTCTCAGGCGTCCCTCAATCTCTGGGGGCAAAAGCCAGTTCCCGAGCCCCCCCCCCAGCAGCTCCTTCCCCGTTCAGCAGGGCCAGCCCTCAACGATTCTACTGAGGGGCTTTTCAAGGCTGCTGCTCTGGGGAACAGCTCCTCTTTTGTGGGCCTTCTGCTGCTGCTGCTGCTGCGCGGGGAGCCAATTTTACTGTGCTAACTGGGAGCAAACTGGGAAACACGGAGCAGGCGGTAGCTGGGTCCTTACCTTCCCCGTCTGGGCAGTGTCCGCTTCGGTTAGTTTCCAGGCGTTCTTTCCATCCGACGCCTTCTGAGTCTGAGCCAGGCTGTTCTGCACCAGGGACGTCTCCGTCTCACTGCTGTAGGTCGAGGAGTTGCTGAGCTGCCTGGAAGGCCCACATGCTGCTCTTGAACCCAGAGCCCAGACCGGCTCCCACAGGTGTCCCCCTCCCCCAGCCTGCAAAGACCCCCCGTCGTGCAGGCATCACTCTGGCTCCCATCCAAGGGTCTGGCTGCAAAGGCCTGGGACCGTGGCAGGGGCCTCGGGGGCTGGGCGCTCTGCCCCTCCAAGAGCAGAAGCCGCTGAGAAGCCACCCCCGCCCACGGAAGGGGGCTGCCCCCAAAGGTTTCCCTGCATCTCTGCCAGCAGGGAGGGCAGGAAAAACCGGGCCAAAGATCCAGGCCGATCAGGCATCTCCTCCCTGTGCTGGAGCAGAGTCTGCCTCCAGGACAGAGAACACCTCCTGCCCTCCCTGTGGGAGCCCCTCAGCCAGCAACTGAACAGGGACCCCCCCCCCAGCTGGAGGTGAGGCACCTGCTGAAGCCAGGAGAGGAGGGGAGCAGCAGATGCGGGGGGGGGGGAGGGATGGTTCCTGGCTTAGGTGGAACTCAAAGTCTCTGGGGGTAAAGGAAGCGGAGGTGCCCCAGTGGCCGCTTGCTTTGCCCACCTCCTCACTTGGACCGGGTTTTCACTGGCGAGGACCCCGTTCTCCAGCAGCTTCTCTTCCTTCGTGACCAGACCGGGTGTTTCTGCAGGAATTAGCGGAAGGGCAGGCCGAGGGTTGGTGCAGGAAACAAAACGGCCAAAGCAGAGGAGAGGCTCCCAATGAAACCCGCCACTATCCAGGACTGTCCTCTCCCCTGGACAGGGAGGTAGGTCTCTCTGCAGGCATTTAAGAAGTGAGGCTACTCATTTCAATCAACTTGCTGAACAGCCAGTTAAGAATTTGGACAATTATTTTTTCTCCTAGCGAAGAATACAAGCCATCAAAAATTTGGGGACAAACATGATCAAGCTTTTATTGAGGATTTTAAAAACTTCTCTCTACCCTCCTCTGCTCAAAATTCTTTTTTCTAAATCCAAAGAAAGAGGACAAAGAAGAAGTGGAGGCAGTTTAAGATCTTCCAGGTTACCCTCTTTAGCTATGCTGGCTTGTTTAAGCAGAGCAGAGTCTGCAAAATGCAGTTCAGTCTGGCCGCTTCATGCGAGAGTTAAACAAGTGAGGCTGATTTCCAAGGCTCTCTCTCCATCCCCCCCCCCCCGCTTCCCACAGTCAAGTAAAGAGGAGATTTTATTAGCTTTAAAACGCCCAATTAAGCAACTCTGTTTTCAGCCCCGTTTCTGCCGTGCCAGCTGGCAAGCTCAGAAGCTGTTTGTCCAGCAGGGCAACGATCCTGGCACTGACATCCGAGTCCTGAGGGCTCTGCAGAAACCTGGACTGGTTGATACACGAAGTCTGGGCTGGGTCTGAAGGAGCAGCTCCAGCCCTTGACTGGCACACTAAACCGGGCATTTACAATCCTGCCCAAGACGAGAAGCAGCCCAAGCAGAGGAAGAGAAGCTTCAAGACCAGCCACAGCAGTGACTTCCGGTGGCTTCCTTCCCTCTGGGAGTCTGGTAACTTCAACTCCCAGAATCCCCCAGTTGCCAAGTCTGAAGACACTGATTTAGAAAGAAGACAGATTTTTTTTTTCAACTTAACCATAAGCCGAAACCCCCTCCAGGACCTCAGCCCTTTCCCCTCTTCCGCTTGCTTAGGGCACCCATTCACACACAACGTTGCAGGGCAATCAGCCAGGTAAATAAACTGAGCCTACTTCTAGTAACAAATACCCACTCAATAATCACTGGGAAAGAACACAGACAATAAACAGGCAGGGTGCCCCCCCCACCCAGCCACAGGAGGCAACCAAGACATAGATGAGGGGGAGCCTCCAGCTATCAGCCATCAAACTGATTTCCCCACCAAGATGGCATCAACAGCAACAGCTGCCCAGAGATCTTCCCCACGTTAGCAACCCAAAGAGGGCAAAAGGTGCTAACAGGGCAAGGAAACACGGGGGGGGGGGAGGGCAAGACCACCAATACAATAGTGGGACAGTGGCTACGTCTATATCGGCCAGTGCCCGTTCCTTGCCTTCGCCAGCCAGGTTGTGATCCGCCCCGGCGTATGTGCGCAGGAACTCCGCAAAGGCCCGGTCTTGCTTCAGCAGCTCTTGGTACGACCCCATCTCCGATATTTTGCCTTCGGACAGCACGATGATGGTGTCCATCAGCGGCAGGTAGCTGACCCCGTGGGTCACCAGAATCCGAGTCTGGGGCAGGGAGGAAGAAGCAAAACCAGGGAGGTCGAGGGATAGAGAAAACGGCGGGTTTGCTGTGCCCATGGAAGGCAGAAAATGCAGTCTAATATCCAAGAGACGGCGAAAAGGTCGGTGATGACCCTCCCCCCCCCACTGCCCTCGAGTTCCCAGAGGGTGCAAAAAGATGAGCTACAAGCTTTCTGAACACCTACTTTGTTTTTCAGGAGGCCCTTCGGCCCGAGGACTTTGTCGAAAATGTGCTTCCCGACGTGGGCATCCACGGCTGACAAGGGGTCATCCAGCAGGTAAACGTCAGCGTCGGCATAGACGGCCCGGGCCAGGCTGACCCTCTGCTTCTGGCCACCCGACAGGTTTACCCCCTGAGGAAGAGAGAGCAGCGCCCTCAGGGCCAGGCAGGAGGGCCCAGGCGCTCCACAGAAGACGTGAGAAAGAAATGGCACCACACAGAGATTTTAGGCTTTGTGTGGGTGCCCACGAGTGGTGCCCCGTCAAGTACCTTCTCTCCAATCTCCGTCTGGTCTCCCGAAGGGAACAGCTCCAGGTCGGGCAGCAATGCGCAGGCCTCGACCACCCGCTGGTAGTGCCTCCCGTTCAGCTCCCGCCCAAACAGGATGTTCTCCTGCAAGGTCGCGTTCTGGATCCAGGCTTGCTGAGAGACGAAAGCCACGGAGCCCTGCCGAGAGGAGACCCCCCCTTAAATTTCCCTTCCAGGCAGCCCACAGCTGGCCCGATGCTGCTTCCCCCAAATCCCACATCTTCCACCAGGGGAGCCCCTGCAGGAGAATTCTGCTTGCCTGCCCCTCCAGAATTCCCCTTGGCTGAAGCCCCTCACAGGCGGCCCCAGGGAAGCGAGACCCTCCTTTATTTGTCACCGCAAGGAAGGGAGCCACTCCAGTCAAGGCAGGAGGGGCCCAACGTGCTGCCGGTGGGCCATGTGTCAGAGGTACCCCTCCCTCTGCGGGACCATCAGACAGCCCCCCCAAGCTCTTCTGCCTGTCTGGGGGCACCCCACCTATCCCACACACCCTAAGAGAGACGTGCCCGTCCTGCTTCTCCATTTCTCCCAGAAGAGCCGACAGGAGGGAAGATTTGCCGCACCCAACCTGGCCCACCACAGCCACCAGGGAAGGGTCCGGGATGGCAAAGTTGATGCTGGAAGAAAAGGAATGGCCAATTCAGCCTCGACTCCCGGAAGGCCAGGGCAGCCGTCTGCCTGGACCTCAGAAACGGCAGACTCTTCCAGGGCCCCTGAGAGGCCCAGGCCCATCTCTGGGGGACCAGCCGGAGAGCCGAAAGCCAAAGCAGGCAGGGAGAGGGGGTGCAATCCAGAGCCTTACTTGCTCAGCACGGGGGGCTCCGTTCGTGACCAGCTGAAGGAGGCGCTCTTCATGCTGACGCTGTTACTGCCCGCTAGTGGGTTACAAAAGGAGCCCTTGAGCAGGATGGAGATGGCCAAGGGCAGCAGCTGCCAGAGGTGGGGACCCCCCCCCCAGCCTTGCCCAAGGGGTGCCTTTCTGGACTCCCCTGCCCACCTTCCACCTCCAGACTCTAGAACGCCAACCTAGCTGAACATCACAAACTGGGAACTTTGGTGACAGTGCAGATGTTGAAGTTTCCAATGAGCAATGCTGAATTTAAAGAGGGGGAGGGGGGAATCTGGCAGCTGCTCTTGATCCCGTGACCCCTTTGCTGATAATGCCAAACTCACCATTCCTGAGGGTGCCCCGGACGACGCTGTCAGGATCCAGCTCTTCATGGGACAGGAAGACCCGGAGACGCTTCAGGGACACGCTGGCCTGGATGGTCAATCCCACGATGGTGAGAGCGGACAAATGTCCCTGTCCTCCCCTTCATCCAACCCTTCCCCCTTCCCACCAAGTGCCTAAACTCAAGTGCGAAATTCAGTGCCTGCTGTGGCCTTCAAGGGCTGAGCCCCAGGAGATGCAAAAGGGAGCTCTGAGGCTTTACCCTCTGCTCTGCTCTGCCTGCCTGGAGGCCGGTCTGCCCAATGAAGGCCCCACCCAATTCCCAGCGGCCCCCAAAGCTCAGCCTTACAGAGGCCAGCTGCAAGCCAGCCGTTCAGTGTCTCTTTTCCTCCCCCATCAGGCCCAACCCAATAGATAGGCATATCCTGAGCCCTGAAATTCTGGGGCCAACAAGGAGGGGGCGCTGTGGGCTGCCCACCCGGAAAGGCAGAGTCCTAAAATTGCAGAGTTGGGGGGGGGGGGGATTTGGAGAGTTTAATGCACCCGTTCAGTGCAAGGCTCACTCACTAAGAGACCAGCTCTGCTTGAAGGCCTCCAACCAAGGAGGGCTCAGCCTGTTCTGCTGGTTGACACTTGTTCGCCCCCCCCCCCGGAAGCTCCTGCTGACCCCTGGCCAGATCTGCCCCCGCTGAGTCTCAAGCCCTGGTTGGTCCCCACCCTGGCAGACGGCAGAGCCCAAAGACTCTCACTTGCACGATGCTGCTGACGACCATCGGAAGGATGTTGAGGGGGAACCGCAGGATGTTGAACAATGCCAGAGACACAAACGCTTTCTGGGCATCCAGGATGTTCTTTTCCGAAATGGACACATAAACAGCGAAGGTGGACAAAGCAACCTAGGAGTAAGCAGGCCAGGCAGAGTCACGTACGGAGGGAGATGCACATGACCGGGTTCTGCAGCATGGGGCAAATGCTACCCCCAAGCTGACGGGAGCTGGGAAGCCAGAAACACCTGGAAACACTCACCAGGAACGGGGCACACACCCAGGTGAAGGTGCCCATGGCTGCCAGGTACGCCGATTTCTTGAGGACCTTCAGCTCATCCTGCCGGATCTCCAGGACTTTCCGCTTGAAGGCCAGCTCCCAGGCGTAAAGCTTCAGCACTTTGATCCCGTTGAGGATTTCGTTCATCAGCTTGATCCGGCTGTCCTTGCTCTTCATGTGAGCCACCTGGAACCAGCGGTGGCCATGGAAGCCCGTCAGGACACGCCTCACAGTGGCCCAAATCCTGGTCTGACTGCAGCTGCAGCTGTGCAGCTCTGGGCTGGACCACTGAGAAGCCTGGACCACGATCTTTTGGCCGTGCTGGACTCCGATCCCCATAACCTCCATGCAGTTAACTGGGATTCTGGGAGCCAATTTTCAAACAGCTCAGCCGGGGGATGGCTGCATTCCATTGGCGTTTGGTGATTTGACTGTTCTTGCATTTAAAAGGGCAGCTTTGAGTGATCTAAGCCAGCATTTTTCAACTTCAGCAACTTAAATGGGAGTGTGCTTCAACTGCTGGCTGGGGAATTCTGGGAGTTGAAATCCAGCCATCTTAAAATTGCCAAAGTTGAGGAAGACTGACTTAGACAGATCAAGACCTAAGGGAAACAGGTAATGCCAGCTCTTTGCCAAGGACTGTGGCCAAGTTGGGGAGAGACAGCTACACCTTCAGCGCACTGAGGCAGAGTCCATTTGACAGTTATGGCGGGGCCTCCCACCTGGTAGGTCTTGGTCTTCATTGCTATCACAGCATTCACAGGCACCAGGAGCAGCATGACCGCCACACCAGCCAACACGGAGGGACCTAAATTCTGAGGAGACCATCAGAGGATCATCAGGCCTCACGAACCAGAGAGGCCTTGTGGGATGCCCCTCCCAGACCTCCTTCCCCAGGGACTCTTCGTACCTGCCACAGCAAATACAGAGCGAGCACCACTTGGAAGGGGGCCGACCACACCATGTTGATGTACGTCGCCAGGTCCATGAAGCGCTGAGCATCCACCGACATCAGATTGACGATCTCTCCCACCGTGGACGTCTTCCGTGCCGAATTGGTGATGACCAGGGCCTTGGCAACAGAGACAGCAGACAAAGGGGGGGGGGCGTTTAAGCATCAAGGCATTCCCCATAACAAGAATGAGAACTTGGAAGCCTAATGTGGGTTTAGAGTTGGAGGCCCTATTAGCCAAAACAAGCCTTAGGAAGGCAGCCTGGATCTTATAATCCCTGCGAGGGCTACACCAAATTCCCTTGCTCTTTGGGGGGGGGGGAGGGACAAATTGGGACAAGAAAGTGACATTTCATCCTAATTAAATTTTACTACATTTTCAACTGAGTTGACATTAACCATGATTTAGGGCTATGATGGAATTCCCTCAGCTTCGTCTCAGGGCCAGCCTAGAGGAGACGGGAAAACAGGAAGAGGGCAGACGGGGCCAGGGCCTCTCTCTGGGGAGGTCACAACCCAGTTACGTGCCAATCGGGCCCACTATGAGCATCGGAGAAAGAGCCCGATGCCCACAGAGCCTTTAAGGGACGGTCATCACACACTTTTGCAGTTAATGAATTGCCAGCTCTGCTGCCAGCGATTTGGGCAAGCCACGTCTACAAAATGCCCCCGTCCTCCCTGTTTCAGGGAAGGCGTCTTTTAAAGTCAGCGTTGGCAGAAACGTTGCAAATAGAAGAGGGAGGAAACGGCCTCTTGGGCCTTAGGAAAGCTCCTTCCTGCACTTGTTCTCTCGAGCATTCCCGTCTCGGCAGGCAAGTGGCTGCCCCTTTACTTCTGGGGTGGCCATCGCGCGAGGGAGGGGATGTCGCAGGCTGCAGCTCCCACCCCCTCGTCTGGCCAAGGATGAAGGCGGCCCCACCCCAAGCAGCAGGCAACCGGGCCGCAGGGCGTGTGTTCCCATCGTCCCCGCACCTTTCGGTAGATGGCCCCGATGACGGCGGTCTTGAGCCTCATCCCCGTCACAAAGCAGATGTGGAAGTACTGGTGCAGGACCAGCGTCTGCAGGCAGGCCGCGACAAAGAGGAGGCCGGTGTAGAGGAGGCCATGCCAGATGGGGGCGCTTTTGTCATTGACAAAGTTAATGAGCAGCCTAGGAAGGAGAAGGCGGCATTGGAGGAAGGAACCACAGGCCGGGCTTTGGGACTGACCGGCCCAGACCTCCGCCTCTTCCCCTCCCACCCCGAAGCTGGGAGACTGCAGGGCGCTGAGAACCTCTTCAGACAAAAACAAACACACCTGCAAGGTTCAAAGCAGCAAAGGAAGCACAACAGAAGACAGCCTCCAATTCATGACATCAAAGGCCAGAGAGGTTTGTTACGCTGGGGGGGAGGGGATTCGGTGGCTGGAATCCCAGGCTCAGCCTCCTGAAGTCCTGCTGCGAGTGTGTCACCCAGGAGGAGCCCCGCAAGGGAGCAATGAAGCAGTCAAGCCATCGACCAACTGACAACCGACCAAGAGGTGAAGGGCAGGGAGGGAGTCCGGCACTCACTTCAAGAGTTCGGGTCCTGTGAACATCATGAGGTCATGGAAGGCCTTGAAGAGGAAGCTCATCAGGAAATAGGGGCCGAAGGTCTTGTAGAGCACCCGGAAGAGCGAGGGGGCCCTGCTCCTGGTCGGGGGTTCGAGGATCAGGGCCTCTGCCTCCTCCGCCACGTCCGAACTGGAGCCGCTCCCTCTGGCCGGCTTCTTGGGCGAGTAGAGCACGGGGCTTGGAAGCCTGCGGGGGCAGAAGGACGCGGGCGTGGAGGCTTCTTCGGGATCATTACCCAAACACCCACTCGTGTCATCCTCGGCCTCCAAAACTGGCCCTCGGGGTGGATTGTGGGACTTCCCCCATTTAGAGTCCGGACCCCTCCAGCACCACCCCACTTCTGGAGCAGAGCCAGCACATCACAGCCCGGCTGATCAGAGCAACAACTCCCCGAATCGCCAGCCAGGACGGGAGCTGCATCTCAACGCACCCCGAAAGCATCAGCTGGGAAAAGCAGCCACAAGTGGGTTTGTGCTGCGGAAGGACCAGGGACCCCAGTTAGCATTGGGAGACCCGGAGAGTTGTTGATCATCACCAACTTTATTCAAAGGCCCCGAACCAAATGACGGCAGAGGCAGGACTCATTCCCGCCCCCCACTTTTGCCTTCTCCGTGAAAGGAGCAAGGTAACAAACCAACAATGCTTTTGTGAAAATTTGACTAGCATCGCACAAAAGGGGCCCCTCCCGAAGCCCCAGCATTTTCAAAGCAGCCAAGCCAAGCCCTGCTGGCGTCTGTGAGCAGCACGCACTTCCTGGCCCAGGCATACTCCTGGGCCCAGTTGGCAGCCAAGCCGGGCACCACCTCCTCCGACGAGTCTTCCTTGTTTAGAGACCATAAATCTTTGGCTTCCAGCGGCTGCCGGTACCCGTGAATCATCAGCCTGAGGGGAGAGGAAGTTCTGGCGTCAGAGATACACAGAAGGGCTGCAAACGCCCCGCTGGGTGCTCTGAGCAGCTGCAACAAGGGCACCCGTGCAGAGAAACAGCATCAGGGCACCCCAACACTCCCCAGGGATCCAGAGGGCCACTGAGCTGCACGCGGCTTTGGCTTCCAAAGGGCTAGTCGGCTCAGCCAGGTTTCTCCGGCCTGGTGCCCTTCAGGTAAGTGGGACTACAACCCACAGAATCCCCAGCCAGCAAGACCTATGAGGAGGTGTAGTCCCCTCTCAGCTGTAAGGCTTCAGACTGGAGAACCAAGAAGCATCTCATGTCTATAGAAATAACTGTTTTCTCACCCCGAGATCCACCAAAACGTGATCCTGGACAGGAAGGAAGCCCCGGATTCCGGGCAGGGATTCTGGGGGGGGAAGGAGAGAAAGGATTCAGCTGGTTATCGAGAGTCACCGGCTTCTAATGGCCTTCAGACAGCTGAGGGAGGGGGGCCAGTGCGAAGCAGGACAGCTGTGTCCACATCCCCAGCTGAGTCTCTCAGAGCCCATTTAAAGCAGAACCAGTTTCAGGGTTCAGCCCCTTCCCCTCCAGATGCGAAGGAGACAGGAGGTGGGGTGGGGGCACTGCAGGAGACCACACACTTTCCTCATTCAGACCAGCCTTCTGCACCTTTCACCCTGGTAGGACTACAACGCCCTGAAGCCCCTGCCACGCTAGTCCTGCTTTAGGCAGTCCTTAAAAATGCCCCTTGGCAAAAACAGTCTCTCCGCCCTCTGCGGAGAATTCCCCAGAATCCCCTTCCCTGACCTGCTCAGCAGCAGACCAAGCTTTGTGGGTCTCTCTGCAAATCACTGGCATGGGAGCGGATCCAGCCAACTGCTTGAGCGGGAGGTGGGGGAACATAAAAAATGGGGAAGGGGCTTTTTTCTGCCCCTGCTGCAGAGACGTGGCTAACTCTTTAACTGCTTGAAGGAGTCAACAGGATCCAAAAACGTAACTGGTTCATGAAGCAGAAAGTTGGTTATCCCAAGAAGGGAAGGTGCCCTCTGTGACCCACGATTTCTTTATTGTTATGGTATGATCCCAGTGGGGTCCACCTTCAGCCAGTTATCCATCTCCCTTCTGGTTTTGCAGCTGCAGGTGGAGCCCAGCACAGCAAAGCCAGAATTCAGGGCCGAGTGGCCACCAGCTGCATCACACTCTAAAGACAGGCCACAACTGGGAGCAGAATTAGGGGTTCAAGGCCACAACCTGGAACGAACTGCCCCCCGAGATCCGGATGATTCCGGATCTCCTTACTTTCCGCCGCGCCCTCAAGACATGGCTTTTCCAGCAAGCGGGCCTGACCTAGGGAGGATTTTAGGTAGGGATGATTTTAGAAGCAATTTTAACTGGAAACACAGCCGTCAATATTTGGTTTTTAATTCGGTTTTTATTGGGGTTTATATTGTTGTATTTTTGTATTTTTGGTATTTGTGTATAGTATCTGTTTTTTAAATATGCTGTGAACCGCCCTGAGTCCTATGGGAGAAGGGCGGTATATAAATTAAATTTGAATTTGAATTTGAACCTGAGAGATTACGCAAGGAGGTCGGCCAGACCCCCCTGCCTTTGAAGCGTTCCTCAAGAGAGGCACCCACCCTCTCTAAATACGCCACAATGGGAGGAAGAGATCACTTTTGCATAGGAAAGTCACTAAAACCCTAAAATTCCTGACTCTTCCCCCAAATCCTCTCTCTGATCTGGGAGCCTCGTTCACACCCATACAAAACTTTGATTATTTGCACAAATAAAAAGGAACAGAACAATCTTTTGAAATACAAGCAACTAACCCAAACCACAGTCAACAATTGTAGTGCAGGCTGGAAATTCAAGCAACTGAGGTTGGACAAGTGGTCGTGAATAGCTAAAACTTGTTTATATTCAATTGAGCAGAAGATTAAAAGGAGTTTAGTTAAGTAAACACATTACTTAAATACCCAAGTATGACTCACTTAGTTGATTGCTGCGATAACACTTACCGGGCCACGAAAGTTTTCGGAAAATAAAGGCGGACGTTCCGGGAAACAGGACAGAATAAACTGAATTAGCACCAAAGCGAAGTAGACGTAGAAAGTGGAATAGCGAAAGACGTCAATTTCCGCATCCTGGGAAGAAAAATAAGAATGCCACTTAATGAAGTTCATGAAATTGCCTTGGTTTGGGAATATCAGCACCTTTTTTCCTAATAAGACAGCTCACCGTTGTCCAAGAGGAAATTCCAGTTGGACCTGCCCTGGTACTGAATTAATCGAGATGCAAACTGTGCTTGCCTCACCTCACTGAGTTTTTCAATTTGAAAAGCCCCAAGGGAAAGTCTTTGAATGATCATCAAGGAAGGACCCCCCCCTGAGCTCTGGCCTCAACCCCGGCCCACGGGGTGGGCAGAGGGGTCTTTCTTCCCAGAGGACGGGTCAGCTCAAAGCAAGGCTTGGGTTGGTCGCAAATGACACCCCAAGAGGTCAACTCAGGGCCTCTGAAGCCACAAGACCACTGGGCATTCAACACCCCATTAACCCCCGGCTCCCTCATTCAGCTGTCCCTCCAAGGAATCTGCCCACAAGAAGCTGGCACTCACCGGGCACAAGACGTGCATCGTTTTGGATCTGAACACGATGACCGCACACAGGAATGCAATCAGCCAGAAAAGGAGCATCACTCCTGAGGACTGGACTCCTTTGATCCTCTCGTACTGTATTAAAAACGTGGCAAGTAGCTACAGACAGGGAAGTAAAAAGGATAGACTATTACTGACAATGGAGGCTCGCAGAGCCAGAGCTCTCCCGGGATCACAGCTGCTCACTCCGTCCTGGAACTGGAACAGGCGAGACCCAAGGTTTGCAAGGCGGGATTTGCTTCCCAGGTGCTATTCTGGGCATCGCAGCCGCCATCAGCCACGCTAGCGGTTGCAAGGGAGAAGGCTTGATGGATAAAAAATGCACGAAGACCAATAATCCAAGTTACTCTCACTTACCATTGTTATGCCCAAAATGGTAGGGCTAATTAGAAAAACTGGAGCTCGTACTACGTGGTGATTCCTTTCCCAGAAAGAGTAGAAAAGGTCTGTCCAGCAGACCAGCCACAGGACGAGGCCCAAGGTCTGCAAGACAAGAGAGGCGTTTTTCAAGGGGCAGACTATTTATCTGTTGAAATCCCCAAGCAACGACGCAGAGAGGCCAACAGAACTGCAGGCAAACTGAGTCTAAAAAACTGAGAAAGGAAAAACCTGCATTAAAACCCACCCTTCCCATATTCCCCTGTGCAACACAGTGTCACGGGAGAGGCCCCTCTCTGCAGGTTTCCATGGGCTGAGGAAGGATGTGAGTGGGCCACCCTCACTCCCCTGAAGCCCCACCTCCTCCAGAACCCCCCCCCCCTAGCACTTCCAAGAGAGAAGAAGCCGGTGGGCCAAGCCACAGGGCTGGGAGGGGGGGGGTCTGGCTTCCCAGCTGCAAAGGGCTGGCCCAGCCCTGACTCACCGTTTTGGCTTTATTGAGGTGAGACATTTGGATGTAGCCCCGATCATGGCGGCGGAGGTAGGCGAAGTAGAGGGGGAAGCCCACCCAGAGGTAAAGGCAGGGGCTCCAGGCAAGGACTGTGTTCTGGAAGCAGGGTGTGAAGTCCGGGCGCTCCGTGTGCCACGTCAGGTTCCAGTCCTGCGGAGAAGAGATCGGGTGGGGAAGGCAGGTGAGGCCAGGCTGGCTCACCAATTTCCCTTTTTCATCTGGAGGACTTGGCTCACTTTGCCTAGATTTTGGGGAGGGGGGTTATTGCATTCTCAATTACCCCCCTCCAGCCGGGAATGCAAATCAATTCAGCCCCAACATCAAGGAGAAACTCATGTGGCAGCCTTGAAGTCTGCCTTGTTCCAGGAGAAGCCCAAACCTTTTCGGGGAGGTCCTGCCTGGAGGGTCACTCAAGGATCTCTCCCACCTAGCTTCACTTCCGAAGAAATTCCTGTGGACTAGCGAACTACGGCTCAGCCAATGCCCGGGCAATTCCACAGGTGCATCCTGCAGAGCCACCCCTTTCAAAGGGCCAGGCTGTGCCCCCCCTCCACAGGAGGGGAGGGAAAAAGCTTGGTTGGGGGGGTGAAGGATGCCTCCTTGTTGCCTCCGTTCAAAAGCATCACCTGCATTTTTAACACTCCCACTTCTTTCTTCCTTTTCTTTTCTTTTCTTTTCAGCAATCCCAAAAATGCGATAAGAAGATTAGCTCAGCTTTCTCTTGGTGGCCTCTCCAGATCCCCAGCAGAGAGATTAACGGCTATTTTTAATTGGGAAAGGAGGGTGGCAATGGGGGAGCTACTTTAGTGGCAAAAGATCCCACCAATTTAGGAATCAGCCAAGGGAAGGGGGAGGCCTGTCAAGGGGGCCTTATGAAAGCCCCCCCCCCGCACCCCCACTCAAAAATGTTTCTGAGCCAAAACATGGCTGTTCTGAGCATCACGTCTGGCTGGGGGCCTTTCGCATGATTTGGAATCGCCCACCAACCGAGTCAAGCGACGGGAAGGGGCTGAAGCCAGAGTCTTTGGGGAAAAGCCCTGAGCCATCCTGGGGACCTTGCGTGACTCTTCATCCCAAAACTGAGGCTGGTGGGGATGATGACCAAAATGTGCTTGAAGGAAAGGAGAGAGGTTTTAAAGATAGGCCGAAACAGAGAAGGGCAGAGCAGGAATGCCAAGGAACCTCGGCCCGACCTGGGGTCTGCACACACTGCGAAGGGAGGAAATGCTTGCAAAATCTCCTTTCTTGGAGCTTGGAGAAATCGACCATAACAAGGAGAAAGTGCGTCACACTGCCCAGCTTTTCGGGGATGACCTCAGGTGACTCGCTTAACTTCCCAGCCGCCAAATTTAGCAACGCATTTTGCACCCAGCTGCTCCTCTCCTCGCCCTGCTCGGCTCCTGCTTCAAAGTTAAGGCAAAGATGAGTCAGGAGGAGGCAGTGGGGCCACTCCCTCCGCCCACCCAGCCACAAACACCCACGGACACTCCAGCAGCTTTCATGCCCCAACCTGACCAGAACAAACCCACAGCACAGCAAGTTTCTCCCCCAGTGACAAAGCCAGGACTGACAGCTCCACAGCTCTTCCTGCGGGTCTCTCTCCCACTAAATTAGTGGAGGGCAGCTCCAAAGCCACACAGGAGAAGCAAACAAAACAAATTCTGCTGATTGCAGAGCTCTCCGGGTTTCAAATGAGCAATCCCTAAAACTATTACAAATCATCAGATCCACTGTCCACGGATGCCAACTCAGTTTCGTTTTGCAAAAGCCTCTGAACTAAAGCCCCAAGCAAGCAATGGCCGTTCACGGGCTGTTTGGCCTGAAACCGTTTTGCCTAGAAGGCACTATACAAAAGTGGTGCTGCTGGAATTCAGCTCTGGTTAGTCAGAGCTACGATTTACTGAAATACCGTATTTTGCAGACAAAACAACTTTAAGTGTGAAAAACAGGCAGGAACTGAAATACCGTATTTTGCAGACAAAACAACTTTAAGTGTGAAAAACAGGCAGGAGGAACGTCTGGCAAAACTTTTAAAGCAGCATGAGATTAATGGAAACCGTTTTCTCATATTTGCAATGTGCGATTTTGTGCCGTTTAATAATGCACACGCCTACAAATTGAGGACAGTCAACGTTTCTGGATCACTGATTATTTGACAACCAAGATCCTGTTTCTCTACTTCTCACTTTTAATACTGGGAGTTCAACTGCCACTATGAAAGTCAACCAATTGCCCACCCTCCAAAGATTTCTCAGAATTTGGGACTCAGAATGTGGCTGTTACTCACTTTTTACACTGCAAAGCCAAGATTCTGCAATTGTTGGCAGACTTCAGAAGTATGAAAGTATTTGCTTGAATACTTTAAAAATGACACTGTTTTCCCAAGCAAGTCAGAAGGCAGGGAGCTCAATCATTAGGGTGAGGCCAAGCAAACCAAAACACTTGAAAACCTGTGTTTTGTCCAGAAATCAGCACCATACAACGAGCTCTCATTTCCACAAGGGTTCAACCTACAATGAGCCTGGCTGCAGCCATCTTTCTCCCAGTCTAGGCTGCCACATGCAAAGAAGGGAGGGGGTTCCACAGATTCTTTGCATTACAATCTTCAACAGGCCACGAAAGAGAAGCCTGTTCTGTACCCTTCCCACAACCTGTGAATGGCTTTTTTCTGACGAGTGGAAAGTGGGCGCAGAGGGGGTGGGACTTTCTCTCCCAGCTGGGGCACGTTCCATTCAAAGTCCCAGGAAAGCAACTTTGGCCAAGAAGGATCCTTCCGCACTTAGATGGGGATCTGGGATCAGAGGAAAACGGAGCGACTGAGCCCTCAGGCAAGGAGATCTTCCAAGCAACGTTTCCCATCAGAAAACCTCAGTCCGAAACCTTCTCAAGCCATTCGGTCACATCTTGGACCAAGCCTGGCCCAGGCAGACCTTTTTAAGGTGGTGGCTGGTTTGGGAGCAGCGGCCTTTTTGTTCCTGTTAGCTCTCTTGCCATAAACAAACAGTGGGCACAATTCCCTGGCAACCCTCTCCTCTCCTGCTTCAAGCAAAGGGAATCCTTGCAGGTCGAGGCATGCGGGGCTGTGAATGCCAGCTGCTTTCTGAGCTGTTGCAGAGGCCTGGCTAGATGTGCCACATTCAACGCCCACAGCAGCGGCTAACCGGATGGGGGTGGGGAAACTGGGCACTGGGAAAACTATCAGGGTGGCTGGCAAGACGCAACAGGTCTGCTGGAGGGGGAAGTATGCAGCGGTGCATTCTCTGAAGGTGAAAACCGAGCAGGTAGACACCCAAACTTATATTGATTGCATGGCTGCCTGCAAACCAAGCAGTTGCTAGCCGTCCTGACCAGCTTAAAGGCCGACATGGTGGGAAGGGAAGGAAAGCACCAGCCCCACACGGGCCCTGGGACGAGGGACAAGAGCAGCAGCCCTGGGGGGAGGCCTCACACAGCAGCATGGAGCACCTGTGTTGCCTGCAGGAGGATCCAGGCTTGATGCCCACACCTGGGCTAGAGCGCATCCAAGAAGCAGCCGGGAGAAACCACCTTTTAGCCCCAGGCTCAGGGTGCCAGGCTCTCTCTTCATCACAAGTGCCGTCCTGGGTCCCTTTCCAGACCTGAACTGGACACCAAGGCCGGCTGGGAAAGGCTGGGGGGGGGATCTCAGCTGCTCCTTCAGCAGTGGGCTGCAGGGGGTGGGTGGGAACCAGGCTGGGTCTGCCCACTCCTCAAACTGGGGAGTGGGAAGCTGGTGAGCAAGTCTCAGATCCGGCCCCAGCCTCTGGCCCTGTCCTTCCCCATTTGCACCGGGATACCAGCCGGTGCTTTGTGCTTTCAGAGATGGCCCTGGCAGCGCACCCTCGCCAAAGCCTTGGCCACACACACCCCCCGACGACCCCATGCGAAACAGGCCCCTCCCTGGGAAGACCCGGCTCCCCGCGAAGCAGCCCGGCCCAAGAGAAAGAGGCCGCCTTGGGAAGCGCTCTCCCTCCCTGCCTCCCTCGCAAAGCAGCCCTGGTAACCCGAGCGGTGCCCGAAAGTGGTTTTTCCGGCTCCTGCCGCGTCCTCGGCTGTCCTGGCGTCCGCCCGTTACACGAGCGCCTCTGCGGGGGAGGAACGGGGAAGGGCGCGCTCAGCTCACCCGGGCGGCCTCACGGGGGGGGGGCGCCCCGCAGCGCCACGCGTTCTCGCGCGCCGAAGGGAGTCCCTGCCGGCCGAGAGCGCCCGCCCGCCCGCCCGCCCGCCGAGGCCAGCCAGGAGGCGACGGGCTCTGCGCGGGCCTCGGAGGATGCGCGGGCGGCGGCCTCCCCCGCGCCCTTCCCAGGAAGCGGCCCCGAGGGGCTCCAGGCGGAGCGAGGCGGCTCTGCGCGCCCGGAGCAAACAAGTCCAGTTCGGCGCTGGCAGCCGCCGCTACAGCGGGACTCCCGGCGGCGGCCAAGCGGAAGCCCGGCCGGCTCCGGGATCTCGCAGCCCGGCCCGCTTTCGGCCCCGCTCGAGGCAGCGCATCCCGGCTCGGAGAGCGCGCCCGCCCGCCCGCCGCGTGGCCGGACCTGCCCGCGCCTCTTACCCAGAAGGGCGTGGAGCCGGCGGGGCCGTCGCAGAGCCAGGGGGCGCCCATGGAGCCGGGGCCGGGCGGCAGGGGCGGCGGGGTGGCCGCGAGGGTTGCTCCCGGCCAGCTTCGCGCCGCTCGTAGCGCAGCAGACGGTCGGCGGAGGGCAGGAAGGGGGCGGGGCGCCGGCGCCGGGGGCGGGCGCTGATTGGGCGCGGCGGCCGCGAAGGGGCGGGAAGGACGCCCGGCACATCGGCGGGGGGCGCGGGAAGCCCGGCTCTGCCCGCCGCGTCTCTTCCCGGGGCTCCGGCACGTGGCGGCCCCGGCGAGTCTCCTTGCCCGCCAGCCCCGCCTGCCGCCCCACTGCCCTAGAGCCGGGCGACCCCCGCCCGCCCAGGAGCGCCCGCGGGCACCGGACGGGGAGGCGCTGCGCGGGCGCCCCGGCCGCCCCCTTCCTTGGAGGGACTGCCCGGGAGGGGCCCGTGGGAAGCCGCTTCGCCTGCCGAGGGAGCGCCCGGGACGGGTCCGCCGGATGCGCTGCGCCCCGCCCCTCCCGCTGCCCGAGGAGCCCCCGGCCGCGGTCGCCATATGGGCAGCGTCGCGCGTGTGCACGAAGAGTCCGGGCAGCGCCGCCAGAGGGCGCCCTCCAGCGAGCCTGCGCGCTCTGACTCAGCATTCCCCCCCTCTGCCCCCGCCGCTGAGTCAGCCCGCGCTGCGATTGGCCGGGTGCGGGCCAATGGGGGCGAAGGGCGGGCTTCGGTAGCTCCGGGCATCGCCGTCCCGGTCTCTCGCGGGCTTCCGGCCCCGCCCCTCTCAAGATGGCGACCGTCGCCGAGCTGAAAGCGGGTAACGGCGGCGCGACGGTTTGTTGTCCCGCCGGCGGGGCGGGGCGGCCGAAGCCCTCCTCGCTGGGCCTGCGCCACGGGCGGGGTCGCCGGGAGGTGGGCGGGCGGCGGGCCGCGCTGGGGCCGCCCTGCTGATCGGCGCCCGCTCTGTTTCCGCGCAGCCCTGAAGGAGGCGCTGGCGCGGCGTGGCGCGCTGGGGCAGGTGCGGGCGCGCGTTCGGGCCGAGGTCTTCGCCGCGCTGGACGATCCGGGCGAGCCGCGCCCCGCCGCCCCCCGCGAGACCCTCCTGCTGAACGAGCTCATCCGCGAGTACCTGCAGTTCCACCGGCACAACGCGAGCGCCTCCGTCTTCCTAGCCGGTGAGGCCGCCTCCCCGGCGGGCCAGATGGGGGCCCGGGGGGGCGGAGATCCGGGAGGCCGTCCACCCGACCCGCCAGAAGGGGCGTCCCGGAAGGCCGAGCCGCCTTCGTTGAGAAGGGCTCCGGGAAGAGCCTGGCAGGCGGGACCCCCTCCCCCGTCCTTCTCCGGCTGGGGAACCCCCGGCGGCCTCCCTTCTCCTCTCCACCCCGCCAGGCCGATCCCCGTCCGGCCGCCCAGACAGCTGAGCCGCCCCCCTTGTGTGCTGCAGAGTCCGGCCAGCCCGAAATCCCCCTGGACCGGGAGTTCCTCGCCAAGGAGCTGCACGTGGTGGAAGACCCCAGCAGCAGATCCGTGTAAGGCGGCCGGCTCTCCCGAGATTTTTCTCCCTCGGCCCAACGTTGGTCGCCTCCCAGTCCAAATCCCAAAGCATTTGCAGGCGGGCAGTGGCATTTGTGTGCTCTTGGATAAAAGTAACCCTTTTCCCATCTGTACGTTGGTATTTCTGAAGTTTGTTGATGCGAGTGCCCAGCCGGTGGTTGCATCTGGAGGCTGATAAATCCATCCCAATGTCATTCTTGTGCAATGAACTCAGCTTGATTGCTGATTGACTCTTCCTGGTGCCTTTATTTCCCCTCCTGGGGTCCCTCTCTGCAGACCCCACTGAAGTAGGCACCTGCAAAGGAACCCCTTCACAGAGTCTCTGCTCCCGCTCACTCCTTTTTAAGTATTGGGTTTCTTTTCTTTCTCTTTAACAGGCCACTTTTGTATGGAATTCTCACTCAGCTGTTACAAGGCAATGAAGAGAAGCCCCCCACACACATGTTTCCCAGAGCCCCCTCATTGGCACCTTCAAAGTGGACTACCAGCAAGCCATCTAATTAAAGCAGCCAAATGGGTACAGCACCCACAAACTGACAGACATGTGAAAATAATAATAATAATAGTAATAATAGTAATAATAATAGTAATAATAGTAATAATAATAAACATCTGTGCTGCCTGACTCTCAGCGACTTTGGGCAGCTCACAAGTTACAGAAAAATCAATCAACAATGGGTCTTCCTCACCAAAGACCTGGGTGAAGAGCCAAGTCTTCAAGGCTCTTTTAAACAACACTTGTCTTTCTTTGAGTCACATATTGCAGTCTGTGCTTGGATACTAATGTGTTAATGGCTTTATCTTAAATTTCAGAAACTGTTGCAGACTCGGAACATGGTGTGAGGCTTTTGAAGATACATGGGGTTCACAAGGCATTCATAAATAAAGTAACCACATTTTTTATGAGTAGCAGCTGTTTACATTTATTATTGTGGTAATCTGCTTGGTCCAATAAAATGGTTGATTCAGAAGGGCAACAATCATTTATACATTCGGTGTTTCTTTCAGATCACCCCACAGAAGGTCTGTGTAATAGGTAAAAGTTGAGTCGATGGCACTTAAGTAATCTGGGCATTGAATAGCACAATAAAATAACCAAATGCACACTAAACCTTCAGACAGGCTGTGCCAGTTCCTCTTTTTAGAGGAAGGCATAAATCAGCTTTGTAAGGGAGGGAAAAACCCCTCAGTCGGCCTTGGCAATCAGCAATGTAAGACTTGTTTTGAGAAGCATGTGACACATCAAGGCCGAACTGATTTCCCAGGCATTCATCTGTTGCAACTCAACTAACAGATCTGGCACACTCACAATGCAAGGAAGACAAATAGAGGTGCTTCAGATCTGCAGCTATCCTGGGATAGTGAACAGAGCCTGGGCAGCTACCCACCCTCCAGCAGCTGGCTTTTCCTTTCTGGCCATGAGGTAGTGGTCACTGCCTGTCCAGAACTGCCTCCAGGACAGGGCAGGGCGGCTTGGTCTTGGAATCTGCTACTTCAGCTGGAGGAGAGTCTCTCCTTTGATAGCTTCAAGTTTCCAGCTTATTCCTGATGTAATCAGAGTCTGGTCGACTTTTGCGATGGTTTCTTTAGTATGTTTCCCTTCAAGACGAGGAACACCCCCCCCTGCAGTTCCTGGTAGTTTCTGTCCACCAAGTGGCCTACTTAGCTTCTTCAAGGTGTCCTGAAGCCGCCCTTTTTTCCATGTTCCAGCTCAGTCCTCTCCTGCCCATAAATCATCCCCTGCTGGGGATTCTTGCTTGTCAGCCAGCCGCGCAAAGGCCGGGAAAGGGTTTCCACTCCTTTTTAAGCTGTTGCCATTGAGAGGTGCAGATATTTATAAAACAGCTTCACAACTCTTCCAACGGGGTCCGCTGCCCATCTTCCGAAAGGCGTGTGATGTGAGCCCACAGATCCTCAAAAGTAGCGCCCATGCGAGGTGGAGGCTGCTGCCGATCCTCTGGATCCCTCGGTTTTCCCTGCAGGGTCCATCTCAGATTTTGGCTGATCAAGAGAACTTGCTCATCACTATCAAGCTTGAATTGTTGGATACCGTAGGACCTGAACTCTGCCCAGCAGGGCCAGGGTGGGGCCCGCTGCCTGACAACATCTGGCTTGGCTTGTGCGGCACAAGTAAAGAGAAACCAGTTCACAGATGGTGGGGCAATCAGACATCAGGACCCCTCTAGGATAATCCCTACGAGCTGTGCACTAGCTTTCTTTGTAAAGGGTGGGCAAGAGGCAAGATGCCCACTGGGCAAAGTCCGATGCCCTGTGAAAGCTGAGTGGCTGCTCCCCTGGCAGAGCCCAAGGCTTGGGAGAGGCACTGGAGTTGCTGCACAGCTGGAGGCCGCCAGGCTTGGCAGGCAAGGGGCCCTGAGTGGGTCTTGACCACAGAGCAGCAAGTGGGCCGGCCGGCCTCCCCCTTCCTGCCTCCCCCTCCTTTCCTGCTTGGGAAGTGGCCCTGTGAGCGCCTCCCAGCTTGGCCTTTCCTGCCTGCCTTGGGCTCCATATTTAGGCTGCTGCTGTTGTGCTGCACATCTGCAGAGGCATGTTTGCATCTGGAATGTGGACAGGAATTGCTGGAGGATCCTGGTGTTCCCTATTTGGGATGTCTGAGAAGCCTGGGCCAGGTGGCATGTGGGGCTGGAGCTGCACAGGGAGGGAGGGAGGGAGGGAAGGGCCTGAGATGTTAGGGGGCTCGGGGAAGGTCAACCTCCTCCAGGGGGACCTCTTGCCTCCTTCCCTGCTGGGCTGAGGGGAGCCACTCCGCCCCTTCTCCCCTGGGCTTTTTAAGAGCCGCTTTTGCCATTTAAGGATGGGGAGGCATTGGGGAGATTTGCAGAGGTTCTCAGGAAGGGAGCACCAGGCAGGCTTTCTGCAGAAACAGCCGGGCAGGAGCTGGGAAAAAGCGAGCCCTTCCATTCCCCAGAGACAGGACAGCCCAAAACAGCCCAAGGTCCCCAAATGTTACATAAACAGGCCAGGGACACCACACAGCGCCTTCCTCCTTGGGAACGGCCACCCCCCAGGGAGAGGGGCTTCTGGGCTGAGTTCTGCATCAAAGCCGGGGCCAGATAAGAGCTGCTGATGGCTGGAGAGAAACAGGGGAGCTGCCTCTTATCCACCGCGCCCCCCCCCCCGCACGTCCCCTTTGCTGGCCCTGGCAGCGCATGAGAAATCAGGGTGGGTTAAACAGTTGCTCATATCTCTGGAGCAGATGAAAGAAAGCTCCATTTTGGGAAATAGTGTTGCAATGGGAAGGCAGATAATTTCTGAGCCATCCCATAATGCCATGACAAGAGTTATTAGGGGAGAAAAGGAGAGGGAGAGAATGCCTCTTAGCTGGGGGTGAATCTGACTGCAAACCCATCGCTTGAGCCCCCTCCCTCTCCTCACCCCCCTTGCACAAGTCTTCATATCTGAGACCCGGAGATTCTGTTGGGGGGGAGGAATCTGTGGCCCCTCCCCTGAGCCCATCCTCTCTATATAGAGGGGCCAGCCCGCATCAGGCTCGCTCTGCCCAGCTGCTAGCAAGCACCCATCCGGACGCGCCTGCATCTTCGGCTTTCCTCCTGGACCTCTGTAAGTACCCTGGCTGGCCGAGGACCCTCCTGCACCACCCCCTGCCAAGAGCTGCCCCCCCTTCAGGCTAATTGCACCTCTTGGGGGAGGCAATGAAGCAGGCGCTCCCTCCTGGGGCACAGGCAAGCTGGTGGCAGCTTCCAAGCACTGCCTGGGCAACCTCAGGCCAGGACGGAGGCTTGGAACAGCCTTGCTGGGACTGCTGTCTGAGCACCCAGGAGGCAGAGGCGTGGGGAGAGGGACCAGTGCAGGAGCCGTGCATTTGAGGTGGAGGGCCCCCCCAAGGATCAGCTAGTTCAACTTTCTGCAGGAGTACCTATTCCCCTGTCCTGGAAAGTGGGTCTTCTTAATGATTCCAGAGATGGATGCCCCCCATAGGTGGACCACTCTGCTGCAGAAAGCATAGAAATGAAGTCAAAATTCAAAGCAGAGCTAAAAACTCTGCACAGAACCTCTAAGAAGCCGATTCTGCTTTCAGCACCAGAATAAATTTGCACTGAAGACAATCCCAAATAGGACCAATCCATTGATGAAATGACCCAAGATCATTTCTTTCAAACATTTTTTATTGTTGGTATATACTATAACAGACTCACATTTAAGGGATCTTTTCAAATTGCCTCCATGGATTCCTGAATGTGATTACTTGCTGGCAATTAAAATACTTTTTCTGGCCTCCCTGCGGTCAGTCGTCGTTCCCCCCAATAACCTCAGGGTCCATCCTGGGGCAGATGAGCTGGGCCAGCTGCTCAACCTCTCAGGGCTGAGAAGTTTGGGGCTGCTTGTGGCAACATCCTGATTTTAAAAAGAAGCGAGGGGAGCTGGTTTGGTGCAGCCTCAATAGCTTAGTTACCTAGCTTGGCCTTATATTTTCCTGAAAAAGACAAGGATGCCTTAAGACGAGGCTCTTTCAGTCCCCAAGCCCGAGGTTCAGCGCCTGCTGTAAACCACTCAAAATAAGACCCTTTCTTACCAGCAAACCTGGATGTCAGCTGAGCTCAGCACTGAGAACCAGCAGCAGCCCTGCCGGCTTTTGAACCAAAATCTGTCCTCTGCACGTTCCGTATTTAGACGTTCCCTAAATCATTTGTTTTGACAGCCCATCCTTGACTGTATCCCTGTCTCCTTTTCTTGTGAAGCAAAGAGAGCTTCCATGCAGGTGAAAGAGAGTCTCTCTCAAGGAGCCCGGTGGAGGCTGTCCCCCCAAGGCAGGCTTTGGAGGAGGGTCTCAATTGCAGGCTGCTAAATTCCCACCCTAGAAGCCGCAGGCAGCCTTCAGCCCAGAGGTGGCTGGTGCGGACAGCTCCTGCCGGCCTCTCTCCTCTGCAGGGATTGTGGTGGATCTGGCCTTCCTAGCAGAGCCATTGGATGTAAATGGCAACTTCTTTTAATTATTGTCTTTGGAAAGGATTCTGTTATGCCCTAAAAGGTATTTGTTTTGAACTTGTTATCATTAGGGTATTTTTTTCTGTCTCCCTTTTTTTTTTTTTGGCTGGATCTGCTCATAATGAGAAGAACGTGGCCATATATGGTAGCCTGCCTGCATTAGTGCAAGCAGAGAGCTTTGCAAATGGTTGGAGGCTTGGATCCTTTTGAAGCTCTACATGAGGTCAAGGGACCTCTTCTGCCCTCTCCCCAAAACGCCCCTTAGTTCTGTAAGTGAGAGGAGGCTAAGGATTTTTTTTTTCTGGGAAGTTTTCAAAAATCTGCACTCTGGCTTAAAAGGGGAAGGATTGGGAAATGGAGCAGAAAGCCCCAAACATCTCTGCCTTCATCGTGTTGATGAATTCCTGTCTCCTGAGCTTAGCAGCCCATCGGCAATGCAGTCGACAATATTTATATTGTCTGCAAATGTTTAGATCCTGCCTTCCACTCTGCAGTGCAGGACCTCCAAGGCAGCTAGGAAATGCGATTCCAAACCCAGCAATAAAGAACAATATAACTCAAACGGATGTTTTCCTGGAGAAAAGTCTGAGTTGCCACCAGCAAACAGGCCAGGCTTGTCTGGGTGAGAAGCCGGCAGTGGGACTTCCTCCCGAGGCAGCAGATCTTTAACTCCAGATGCTGGGAGTTGGCAGAAGGAGATCTGTTTCCCCCTGTTTAGCCAGGAATTAATTAATTAATTAAAGTTTCTCTTGAAAAGATGAGATATTGATCATTACCTGATGCATATCCTGGACTTCATTGCTAAAAGGTGTCCCGAAGTTATTTTTCACCGCAGAAAGTGTGAACTTTAATATAGCTTGATGTAAGAGTTAAAACAAAATCCCAAAGGTAGTGATGCTTTTCTAAGTGATGGGTCTGCTTGGAAGGCCCCCTCCCCTAGCTGCCGGGAGGGTTGTCTCGTCCAATCAGCAGCAATTCTTGCAACCGGCCTGTTTATCAAAGCAGTATC